TTTTTTTTTTTTTCTTTTTTTATTGCAGAACCAGGGATTGCACTCAGGCCCTTGTGCTTGCCAGGGAAACACTTACTCTACTGAGCCATCCCCCTGGCCCAACACACTTAAGATTTTAATTAGGGTTCAAATATTATTAAATGTATTCCTGAATGCCATAGAAAAGCCAGTTCATTTTAAAACTGATTTTTGATTTTCGAACATTAGTTTCTTCTATAGTCTCTGAAGGATAAACTGGCCAGAACCAAGGCCACAGGGCAGCCAAGGGTTACATCAAACTGCATTTGGCTAGGAGTGAATTAGTATAACATTACACGTCGTGTAGTGTGTAATAACTACAGCACGTGATGCAAGGTCTACGTAGTAGGCATCTTTTATCTTTAAGACAAAGTCTTAAAAAAAAGGACAAGGTGTTGCTAAGTAATTCAGGCTGACAGTGAATTCACAGCGTAGCCCAAGCTAGTCTCAAACTTGGAGCAGTCCTACTGTCTTTTTTTTCTTCCAGAACTGGGGATTGAACTCAGGCCCTTGCGCTTGCCAGACAAGCGTTTATTCTACTGAGCTATCTCCCTGGCCCCCATACTGTCTTTTCTGAGTTTAATTACTAATTTTTGGACATTGAATCAAATGTCTGATATTATAGTGCAAGAGTGACACATAGGCTTTTCTTTTTTTGCTGACTCTGCCCACCCTGAGGGTGTGGCAGGTGTGGCATGTGCTGGGAATCGAACCCCAGTCCCTGTGCTTTTCTAAGCAAGTGCTTAGTCCACTGAGCTATCTTGCTGGCCCTTGATTTCTAAATAGCAATAACAGTTAAATGGTCTTGTGCCTGGCATGGTGGCACACACCTATAATCCTAGCACTCAGGAGGCTGAGGCAGGATTGCTGTAAATTTGAGGGCAGATTGGGCTTCATAAGCGAGTTCATGGGCAGCCTGCACCACATGGTGAGATCTTGCCTCAAAAAAAGTCCTGCAGGTTGACTGGGCTGTGAGATGCGGGGTCCGCAACATGTGTCATTTATTCAGTAAACATGGTAGCCTGAACCCCCATCTGAAGTTTTGTTTCTTGAAGTTTTAGTTGCCAGTGGTTGAGCAAGGTCCAAAATACATTAAATGTGAAGTTAGGCATTTTTGAGAGAGACCATACTGGTATGACTTATCACAGCATATTGTCACAGTTGATTGAATGTTACCATAAATGTGTATGCAGGGGACAGATGAGGAGGTGCAGAGTTCAGGGCTGGCTTCCGACCTCTCCAGCCCTTGAAGTCAGCCCCAAGACAAGGGGAAGCTGTCCTGTGGGGCTTTGTGTGCGAGCTGTGCTCTAGATGCTGAGGTTGTTGGCAAATGAGAAGCGTGACTCTCCGCTGTCTGTTAAGTGATCATAATGCAAGACTGGTGTGGTGGCACACACTTGCTAATCCCAGCAGTGTGGGAGGACAAAGTTAAACCCCACCTAGGTAATTTTGTAAGCCTAATAAATTGGGAAGAGTAGCTGGGGCTAGAGCTCAGAGCAAAGGTCCTTGCTGGCTTCAGTCCCAGAGTCTCAGGAAAAGCATCCTGGCTTCATTTCCGCCTCCTGCCCCAGCTAGATGGCGTTGCTTGTGAACGCCCCCGCCCTCCCTGCTATCTTCCCTCCTGGCACTGCGCTGCTACTCACACATACTGTTGATGTGGCGAAGCACAGGTTGGGGCTGTGCTTCTGGGACCAGGTCTGTGGACCAGAGGCTCTCAGCTCTGCACTGCTCTGGGCACCAGTTTCCTGGGAGCCCCACAGGCTCTTTTGTTAGTTTTTCTCCCTGCCAAGACCAAAGAGGAAGCCGCACTCAGCACCCTGCCCTGCTGGAGAGGGAGGCGGGCAGCTGCAAGTTTACTTGTGAGCTATAGTAAACATGTAATTACCTAATTCAGGATCACAAAAATCTCAGTAGAAATGAGGGCAACTGAAGCAGGCTGCTGGCTTTCAGAGACAGCAGAGAGGCTCACTCATTGAATGGCCCAGGTGGAGCTTGAACGTGAGATCTTCTGCCTCAGCCTGAGAGTGCTGGATTAGTGTGTGCCCCTCTGCCCAGCATTGCCATTCACTCTTGTGATTTTTTTTTCTTTTGAGGCAGATTCTTAGTGTGTAGCCCAGGTTGGCCTTGAACTCAGCAGTCGTCCTGCCTCAGCCTCCTGAGTGCTGGGATTCCAGGCATGCACCACCATGTGCAATGCTGTCCATTTACACCCAGCCTGCACCTCTGGCTGGAACCCTGCTGCTCTCTGTATAGATGTGCCTGCTCCCGACATTTCACACAGATGCTGTCCTGCACTGTGTGTTCCTTGCAGCTCCCTCCTCACGCTTAGTCTCACATCCAGGGTCCTTCCATGTGGTTCCATGAGTGCCTTTCCTTCCTCTTCCTTGAGTGGCACACTGGGTCCCCACACTGTGCATCCACCTGCCTGATGATAGATTTTTGTTGTTGTGACAACACAGCTTTGCAGTCTGTGCACACTTCATGTGCCTGTCCTGCTGCCTCTGCTGTGCTGTGACCCTGTGAGGATCTGTGTCACATTCTCATGAACATGTGGGGTTTCCAGTTTATATGTTTAAATTTTTTTTAATTAAAGAATTGTAAATGTTGTGCCAGGGAGATAGCTCACTGGCTTAAGCGCCTGCCTGGTAAGCACAAGGTCCTGAGTTCAGTCCCTCTCCCCCTCCCCC